TGCACAGAGATACACAGGGACACACAGGCACACATGAGAACAGACCCACATGCACATGTGCACACGCACACAGACATACATAGACACACAGGCACCCAAGGACACACACAGACACACATACATACAGACCCGCATGCACATACACACACACATGCACACACATGCACACACATTCACTCACATACACACAGCCGTGCACCAAGAATGTTTCTGGAGGATGGAGAGCTGGGCTTTGGGGTCTGGGGGAGGCGTTCTAGGGGGAGGCATCAGTCTTACTTTTTACTCTATGCTTTTGTTGCTTTCGGATTTAAAACAAAAATCAAGTGAATGTGTTACTTTTTCTATTTAAAACTATTTTTAAAGAAAGGCTTTTCTTTGCGGCCAGCGAGAACACATCTGTGTGCTCATGTTTCCACAATGAGGGAGATGAAACACCCCGGGTTTCTGAACTGATCCCAGTCTTCGTCCTTTTCCTCTGAGAGTGCTAAGACTTTCAAAGGAGATCTCACAGGGATGACGCAACCGGGAAATGCCACAACAGAGTTCCCGTAGGTGACTTTTCACTTCTTCTATTCCAGGAAATCAGTTTGCAGAAGTGGTTAGAAATGGATGCTTATTGTGTTTTCAGAAGCAAGATGGTGAAAGACTGGCAGATTTGGGAGGTGGGGGGCAGGAAATTGTAACATAAGGACGGGGTATGTATTTATGTGATCTTTAGCTAAACTGATAGACAAGGAGTCATATTATCATCCACCGGGATTTATTGGCTCTCTTCCAGGCAGTCTTGTTCAAGTATTTCTTTGTAATTTTATGCAGAGTCACAGGAAAGTCCCCTTTAAAAAGCCTGAATTAGAGAGGTAAGTTTGTCTGATACGGAGATGGAGTTGAATAAATATTGTTGACTGAATGAACACATTCCCACCACCTCTATCACTGCTGCAGTTCTTAGCGCCTTTGCCCTTTTAAGCACTGTCACTTTCTTCTATTACTTTTTTTCTAATCTGCAAAATCCTTCCGGGGTAAGCCAGCAGAGGTCAAAGCTCAGAAGCAGCGTGAAAAGGTCGCCCTAAATCCTCTCTTGGAGCGACTTGAACAAAGAGTGAAAAATTGCAACATTTTTCACATGGACAGTTGTGTTTCAGTTCACCTAAAAATGTGTGAAAAGTAAACTTGCTTAAAAGACTAATAGAATACTTTTCAAGATGAGAAGTCAAATGGCCCTGCCAATTTTGTATTTAATAATGAAAAGAAAGTATATATTTTTTAACTTTAGGAAGTCGAATTGAGTTCAATGACCCCCATTCGGAGTTCATTAATGGTGATCCATTATGCAATTTTTCTATACTTTCAAGTTTTCCATATTGTTTAGCTGAAAACAGGCTCCAGAACTTTTAAAAAACGTGATTGAAATTTTAATAGTTTTGAATTCTAGGAAAAATTTCCCCCCAATCACATTATTATTTTATTATTGCTATTTTTCTCACAATCTGAGCGTATACTTTATGTTGACATAATACGTCCAGGAATAAAAATAGGAAACACTTGCAAAATATTTATTTCAAATGATGACTTTTTCTCAGTATTCAGATTAAAGGAGGCAAAATTTTTGATGTTGTTTTCATAAATTTATTGTGTCATTTGTGGTAAATTGTGCTGCAGTCTTTGTATTTTTGCCCCCAAGGTTTTATTGATTGCACAAATTCACCTGTTTTAACATCAAATTTATGTAACTGAAAAAGCTAATATTAATTCTGTTATATATTGGCTGGCTTTGGCTCTCTGAACAAAGGCTGCTTAAAATCTCTCTTATTGATTAAGTCCAGATGGGATTCATTTTTTCTGATATACAGAACACTGGAAAATTTATCAACCTTTATTATTCTTCATCAAAATGAGCTTCTTTAGATTTCTAATTATATTGTCCAATAAAACTAAACAGTCAATGCTATTTGCATATTATATGAAGAAGTGTCACACAACAAACTCATAGCAGTCAATTAACATAAAAGCTAATTATATATCTCATCAACTTACAAGAGTTTCTAAATTCATGCTCTCCCTGTTGTAGCCTAAAGCAAAGGAGGTTTGAATTTTCACTCCTAAATATTGACTTTTAACTAATATCAGAAGTGATTTCAGTATTTTTATGGATGAAAAGTTAGTGATTAAAGCAGATGTAATATTTGCTGTAATGCAATTAAAATTTTTACAATAATGAAACCTCTAGGAAGAAAACCTTTGCAACAACGTGAAACTAAGCAGGTTGAGTGTTGGTTTCCTATCTCAGGGACCTTCCAAAATAAGCGTCCAGATAAGTAAGATTTATTTGAGATTGTCAGGCTGTTACGAAGGAGACAGTATACCACAAGGACAGTTTTCATGTCCGACTATACGCTGTAACATAATTGTATTGCTGCCTGATTGTGATAGCTATCAAGCAAGAAATTTGCTACAAGATTAACAGAGACAGTAATGAACGAACACGGAAAGCACCCTGTAATTGACTGTTATTAAAGTGTTGCCATAGTGGTCCGGAATAATTCCCTAACTCCAGCTTTCTAGAGAAACTGAAGCCAAAACTTTCAGCTACCTTTTTCTGTTTTCAAGTAGGAATATGAGTACCTCCTCCCATCCCCATGTCACTGCTCACAGAACAAGCACATGGTCAGAAGGGGCCTAAAGGGGAAAAAAAAAAAAGTCATAGCTAGGTTTCAGAATGAGAAAACTTAGGATTTTACTCTGAGGGTGCACTGAGACAGTAACGAAATCGAAACGGATGGTTTTTGTATTTATAACTGATATCAAATGAGTCCATGTGTAAAAGCAACGGCTGGTGAATCGGTTTTCTCCCGATACAATGATGGCGGCCTTTTTCATTCATATTTTAATGAGGTTAGTATCTCTGAGACCCTCCTCCCAGGACGGAGGCAACACTCCCCTGAGACTACAATAGGAGTTGCTTTATTGACAAGTGCTATTCAAAATCTTCATAGTATAGAAAGAAAGACTCAGTTTTATTCCACTTGTCTCAATACTTATTGCACTCTTAAAATCAAAACACTTTGAGGGGAGAAAAAGCCTCAATTATTCCCCGAACAGTCTTTAAATTTAGTGAAAGTAGTTCAGCTAAGTGGAATCATTTTAAACCCTAGTTGTGTGCATTTTAAAAGTGGAATCATGTTAAACCCTAATTGTGTGCATTTTAATAAATGTATAAATAGCTGCCATGCATAAGTATCTTTTTCTTTAAAATTTTCTCGCAAAATCAGATGCTTTGATTGGGATTTTAGGTCAATTTTTAAAAAAATATTTCTGTAGAGTGGACTGTACTAGTCTCCTGCTGTGTGTTTTTCTTTCTTGCTCTCAGTGAAGACTGTAAAACGGCATTTTCTGAGCTCTCTGCCAGCAACATTTCCTACTCTTTCTATTAAAGAACGTTTACTAGAAAGAGCCAGCTAATTACATCAAAAAGCCAGTTAGCCTTCAAAGATGTATGAAATCCACAAAACTCACGTGTTGATCCCTGGATATAACACATTTGTGTTAAAATTGGTGCAATACTAGTCTATTCGGACATACAAAATCCCACTTTCAAAACAAGAAAAACAATCCTGTTTCGTAGAAAGTTATCACATGGCGATGATTTTTTTGTTTTTTGGTTTGTTTGTTTTTAAAGCACCAACCGGGAAATAAATAAAATGGCTCTCAAAAGTAAGTTGTGGAAGGTCTCACGTTATTAACACTCTGATCTGTTCAGATCTTATATACTGAGGGGTTTTGCACGCCGCTCAGAACGTCAGGTCTGTTTTAAAATACGATTTCGAAAGTGGTCTCGGCGCCTCGGGAACTAGTGTGGTGTATTCGTCCAGGGTTCCAAAAGCACCCTCCAGCACGCGGAGCCTCTCTTTTCAGTGACAGCGTCTCCCCAATGCTTACGGTAAGACTGGGGACAGGGCTAGGGAGGGGCAGAGAGAACGCATTCCCGATGACAGGTTTCTAAACGAAAGCGCCAGCTCTTCACTTGGAGGTTAAAGTGCCGCTTTGTTGACATCCATAAAGTGCTAGGAGCCTCTTGCTGTGGACCAGACCGGGAAATACACGGCAGCACTCGCCTGGCAGAATGAAGACCATACTCATTCTGTTCACGATCTGCTTGACTAATTGTAATTTAAGAACTGACTTCTCTTTTCTAGCTTTTAAGTCCCAACACGTATTTAATCTTTCGTCTCCGTAAGTCCATAAAGCAGATTCTGTCGGTTAACCTATGTTTTTGGTTGTGTTTACAACTTAGGAGGCTTACACGGCACAATTAGAAGTGTGACTACATCGTATTCATTGTGGTTCGATTGTGCACTTTCAGCTACTCTTTAAGGGTCTTCTGATTGTAGATATTTTTTTAAAAATCACTCATTAAAAACAAACAAACGGTATTTTAGCGAATAAAGGATGTTGCAGTAGACTCCAGTTTAACAATCGACTTAATTGCCAAGTTGACCGCAGGGGCCTTGAAAGCAGCTCGGAGTTGGTCTCCAGGTTCGCCAGGAGAAGGTGGGAAATTTCACCCCCACGCCCGTGGTGGGGCCGGTGGAACGTTCCCGCGCTGCCCTTTCCCTTCGCACAGAGTTGGCTCCTTGCTGAGACGAGGGGTGAGCGCAGGGCCGCCGGCGTGGTCGGGGCTGCAAGCAGGTTTGCGCGCAGGGGCGCGGGGCGCGGGCGGCGGGCGGGGCGCGGGGCCTTTGTGCGCCCGGAGCGCGCCCGTGAGCGCCGCGCGGTCGCCGGCACCGGAAGGGTTCACACTGCGTCTGAAAGGGGGACAATGGAGGCGCGGTATCTGCACAGCGCCGAAATCGAGTTCATTTGTGATTCGGCCCCTTTCACCCCGGTTGTCAGGCAAACTTCCTACTTTGATCAGCAGAGGGTGAAGAGGCAGAAAGGCCCGCGGAGGCCGGGGCCGCGGCGCGCCCGCGGCGCCCTTGGCGGGTCCCCGCCCCCTTCCGGAAGGAGCCGCGGGGACGCGGCCTCCTGCACCTTGACCTGTCTAGACGGCCCCCGAGTTGGTTTTTTTCTTTTTTTGTCACGGTTACCAAGGGCGCGGGGTGCTCTTTGACCCCCGTGCGGGGCGAACGTGGTGGTCACAGGGTCCCCTGAATTCTCGCCGGATTCCGGAGGGAGAGGGGCGCGCGGACTCCCGCACGGGCTGCTCCAAAGACAACGCGCTGACGGCCGCGCCCCGCGAGCGGGGACACGCCGTCCGCCCGGCTTCTTCCCGCCCCGCGGCCCCCGGCCCTGCCCCGGACCCCGGAGGCCACCGAGGGGCCAGGAGGCTGCGGAGCGCGAGCCCGGGCCTGGGCCCAGCTCGAGGGGTGCGCGGCCGTAGAGACCCCGCGCGCTCCGCCTCCTGTCTGTCGGTTTCTCGCAAGTAAATAGATAATAACAGCCTTTCTCTGTGGCTCAGAGCCTTCTTCTGCATGTTCTGTGATTTTCAGAAATTATCTCCTGTAGAAGGATAGTTGCTAGTTTGAATAGTTTTTCTTCTGGCCACTTTCAAATATAGGCACCTGTTAAAAACCGGAATTTAAGCTAACCTCTTAAATGCTGTAAATAATACAGCTGGGCAGTAACCGGACAGGAAAACTGTTTGCCCGCGCGGAGGGTGGGGGCGGGGTGCGGCCACGTGCATTCGGGGGGATGGCTCTTAAGTAACACTAACATTAAGTCAAGTTTCCTGCCTTTTTCGTTTTTGTTTTTTTCTTCGTAGATCCCCTTAGCCCAGTCGGAGGCATTCCTCACAGACCTCCTGGACAAAGTGTGCGAGCGGATGAATGACTACAGACTCGAAGAAGACCCCGTGACGAAGGAGAAGACTTTCAAGAGATTTGCTCCGAGGAAAGGAGACGAAATATACAAAGAATTTAAAAAATTCTATTTTTATTCAGATGCTTACAGACCTTTGAAATTCGCGGTAAGCTGTTTTTCCGCAGAGGAATCCTATGCTCCGTGAACGCGTTTTGGGTACTTTAAAGAAATTTCTTGCTCTTTGGGATTTTGTTGAGTTTCAAGGCAGGCCCATTAAATGTTGTCTGTTAGCGTTGTCCTGCTGCTTTCTCGGTGTTAACCAGGCGCTCAGTGACTTGCCTTTCGCATCACTGGGGGGCTGTGGTATTTTCATCTCCATGGAGACACTTAAGTGATATTTTCCAGGAAGTGTGTTACAAGTCCCAGTGACTTGGAGGCACCGTTTGCAGGTTGCTTTGCTCCCGGGGACGGTGGGGAAGGGGACTCAGTCAGTCCCATGGGCGGGCAGCTCTTCTACAGGCTCCCGTGTCAGGCAGTAGGGGCCGTGGTCCTGAGATTAAAACCTAAATTAAAATGAGTGCTGTTTTCAAATATGGATAGCCACGCAATAGAGGGAGAGTGACGCATGTCACTTTTTTCTCCTCGGGCTTCACAGAAGAAGGAGAGTTCTTTCTCCTTTGGAGTTAATTCAACAATTTTAGCACAGACTTGGTTAAACAAAGGCTTAGGGATGTTCGTCGGCCTTGTGGCACATTTCATAATGTTTACTTTACGTGGACGGTGGCCTCTGACTCAGAATGTGCCCACCAAATATATGGCAAGAGATTTCACTTTACTTATGCTGTTGAGTCAGACCATGATGGGAAAGCCTGTTTAAGAAATGTCTGTGGTTCACACAGTGGCCAAAATGTCAGACATGCCGACCCCCTGATAGAAGGGCTGCAGCTGACTTTGGACGATTTCGTTTTAATTAAAAAGTCAAGGCAATAATTCAGGGCTGAAAATACTATAGCATGGGGACTGCAGAGAGGAAGTGTGCTTATATTTCACAGGTCTTCCACAAACACGTGATAGTGGAAGTTAAATATTTTTAAATGCCATTTAAAAATTTTTATAGTCTCACTTAATGAACTCAGAAAATGAGTTCCAAGTCTCCAGTGAACACCCTTTAGCATCACGGTTCCTAAGAGTGTAAGCTTGTGTTTCCCCAAGGCAGACACATACTCTAGTCAGAATTTAAGGGTTACAGAGGCATGGGTACATTTGAGCACCCTCTTTTCAGAAATGTCAGATTTGCGGGCAGAGGGTGGGGGGAGTGAAGTGAAATTACAGATGGATCTAACTGTTAGGAAAAGAAAGTTTCCCGAGTGACTGACAAGCCGTTATCCAGAGTGCAATGGAAGATGCATTTGTGTTTTCATTGCTGAGAAAGCTTAATTGTTTTCACATTTCAGATCCTGCTTTAGAACCACAAAATGGATTGTTATGTTAAATATAAAGGAAACTGGTTTAACCATTTTAAGGAGCCATGTTCTTTAAAGTTTCCAAAAAACAAAATAACAACAGCAACAACAACAAAAATAACCCACCAAAAAAGCGAAGACTTTTCAGCTCCATAAGTAGGAGCGCCGCCCCCCCTTCCTGTTCCTTGCATTCCATTCCAGTTTGAGGAAGAGAAACAAATACAAAGAACCATTTTCCTGCGGTACCCTCATCTTTCAACAGGACTAATCAGTCAGCTGAGTCTCGGGGAAAATGATGCAATTAGCATTCTGGGGAGAGGGTTAATCCAATGCAATGATGTCTTAAACCAAAAGGGCTAATAAAAATGGACCACCTTGGTAACATGATTTTCTGTTTTTAGCTAATAAAACTGTGACAAGTCCTTCCTAGCAAGATGTCCTGTGAGCGCACATCTATCCACATCTGTTGTTGTTCTGTTTCTGCAGTGTGAGACTATAATAGAAGAGTTCGAAGATGAAATATTTTCACTTATCACCCAGGAGGCACACCACCTCGCTGACACGCTGTGCGGTGGAAAGTCAGGTACTGTGTCTGATGTGGCGGCGCCCTCTCCCAGGCCCACCCCTCTCCCGCTCAGGAGCTTTTTTTCCATTTTTTTTCAAACCGAGCCTGTCTCCCCGCCAGGGCTGGTCTCTACTGAATCAGAGATGACACCAGGTGAGGGGAGCAAACAAACCCACCTCGGGGCTGTGTGGCCTTGTTGCTTGCACTTCTGCACCTCGGCAGAAGTGAATTCACACATGCTTGGCTTCCAGCCGGGAAGGAGCACAGGCTTGGTCAGCCCTGCCTGGGTCCAAAGCACTTCTCCTTTTAAACTTTTAGAGCTGGGTTCTCCACTCTGGACCAGGGAAGGATTTCTTTATGACTTGCCTGCTCACCTGCACCAACAGACAGTGGGGTCCCTTTAGTAAGAAATACCTGATGTTTTCCTGTTGGTTTATTTTGGCTGGAATTTTTTTTTTCGAGTTCCTTTCCCCAAATATCTACTTCTTAAAACTTTTTTTTTTCTGGTGTGGAAAATAATATTTGATTCGTATTCTTAAACACACTCATACATACACACAACCAGAAGCTAGAAAACACTGCCAAAACTTTATTTCCTATATACAGAGTTGAAACACAGGATCACCCCGACCCTCCATTCTGCTTAAACACAGGCCTTTTAGTCTGTGTCATTTTGACACTTTTAAAATAGGTTTATAAGAATGTGGCACAGGTTGTACATTGTTTTCAGATATCTTTGAAAAAAATGGATGTGATATATGGAGACAATGATTGAAAGCTGGGGAAATACTTTTATGCAATTATGCAAGCCTCAGATGTCTAGCATTCAGCAATTGTTTATAATAAAATATGATATACTTGCATCCATAGAATCAAATTTAGTGTCAAAGTCCTTAAAATAATAGTTAACTGTGATTTGAAGATAAATATTTGTCATTCGAAGTTATTGAACAAGAAAGTAATAGATTTCCATTAACATGACGAAGTTTTCTTTTTTTTTTTTTTTTCGAAGTTTTCTTACTGAGTAGATAATGGGGGTTGTTCTCTGTTTAAAATCCAGTTTGGTTGGGAGTTTGAAGACCACAGTGAAATAATATAGTCAGAATATAGCCAGGAGTTCCAGAGCTTTTTCCATTGATTTTGGATATGTACTGTTGTAAGTGGTGAACGTCACATAATTGAAGTGAACTTCACATCATCACAATTTCCCAAAGAAATTATTTTTGAAGGTTTTCAAGCAATTCAGAGATGAATGTGTGTGTGTTAGGATGTAAGCAAAAATGTAATGAACAAGATTGGGAATATTTATTTTTCTGTTTTTCCTCAAAGGGTTTGGGCTTGTCATTATCATCTTTGCTATATGAATACCTGCTCAGATATTATGGAAGTCTCTGGAAAGTTTCGCCAACTTTTTATGGCAGGAGTTGCTTCAAATAATAAGATTCTGAGGAAACGCTGTTTCCAAGTGCAGCAGTTTGGCTTAATTTCAATTATAGTAACTATCTCTTTTCATTCCTTCCGTATGTTTATAATTGGAAATAAAAATTAATATATCCTAAAGAAAATGCAGTGTAAAGCATAAACTTAAGATGTGTGCTGTATTACTAGTGTAAAATAAAACATGATCAAATCATTCTTAATAGTATCAATTTTTAAAAGACTGATTAAGTGTTTACTATAAACATAAGTATCAGTGTGCCAGACCTATTGAGATCACAAGGTGACCACTCCAAAGGCTTCTCCGCCACATGGCTGCTACCTAGTGAAGTGGAGTGAGCTTTTTCAGGCTGTTTCTTTGTGAAACATACTTATGGGTACTCTAAATAATTTATAAATAAAAATTAGGAATCCGTTAATCCTAAAAAGAGGCAAGAGTCCCTGCCCCTCCTAACTGCCCCCCCCGCCATCATTGACGTATGTAAACCACACAGCAAGGTCAAGGGTTTTCCAAACTTAAAAATTATTGTCAGGAAAAAGCTGAAGTGACACAGTAATGAGAATAATCCTAAGTCATGACTGCAGCCAACAAAGAAATAGTATGTTTTAACATATCAGGATGGTTTTAGAAATCTGTGTAAAAGGTGAGGCTCTCGTATGGTAGAGAAACTCCAGGTGCTTTTAACGTAACCTGAAATACAAGCACAGTGAGTTTTCTGTGGCAGCACGCGCGTCAGCCTGTGTTCTGTAAAGATGAGGCTTTGTTTTATCCTGTTCTGCCACCGCTTTGCTGCGATCCCTCTGCACGTCTAAGTGATGTTTTAGAGAGATAACCGTGTGTGTGTGCGTGTGCGTATGTGTACTGGAGGTTATGAAACTACATTAACCAATACTTGACCTATATACTATGAACAGCCACTATACTGAGGGCTAATAAAATGTCTACATTGCTTTTAGGGAGATTAATAATCTTTTCAAAGGTAGATATTTTTAGAACTAGAAGTTTGGTTGGAAGGTTAATATACTTTATATACACCTTATATATTTGTGTGTGTGAGAGAGAATTTTGCTTTTTTTCTAGTTAAGATAGACCTTTTCACTTTATTTTTAATAGTTAGCATGGGAGCAGATCAGTGCTTATTCACAGACTTCAGCATTTCAGCTTTAGAGGTATAAATGACCTAGAAAATTTCTGTAAGGTATTTAAAGTGTACATCATGCTGATTTGATATGTGCATCCATCTAGTTAATTAACACAAGTATGATCTTTTAAAATACAGGAATCTAAGGCCCACTCCTACAAACAAATACATGGGGAGTAATGGAGAAAACATGTTAAATTTAAGATGACTGTGTTTGGCTTTAAAAGTAATACTTCTGTGAGATTTTCATAAACGTGTTATCTTTTTGATGAGTGAAAAACATCTCGGTGAAGTGCTATGGGTTTGCAGGTAGACCTGCAGATGCCACTGTAGTTTTATTCAGTGGACAGAAGAAAAGTTATCAAGTGCACTCTGTTTTAGGGGCATGAGACATCAGTAGTGGTATAGGGCTATTTCTTACGTATCTCCTTTTTCTTCTAGGCAGAAAATAAGAGTTCATTAGATTTTCCTAGTTGAATGTTTTGTGGCACATGACCCAGTCTTCTCTAGATTGTCATTTTAATGTCTTGAAGTAAAAATAGTATTTTAAAATCTTAATAAGATACAAGGTCATGATTAAAAAGATGGCTATATTTCACTCAAGGTTAAACATGTCACTCTAGATTATGGATGAATGGATTCTTTGGTTTGTGGAGGTATTCATTAGGAAGAGTGAGTTTATAAATATAAATACATAAATATGTTTTTTATACATATCACTTCTGCTTTGGTATCAAATCTTAGCATTTAAAAAAACATGAGACCAATAAGAATTTGTGACATGATCATTTTGAATGGCCACCTAAGGAATAAGGTCTCAAGTATTCTGAAATGGTTAGCCTGCATTTAAAGTAAAAGCATTTTGACCTTTCTGTATAGACTTTCAAGCATTAAAGAGAGTGGTAAATTCTAATATTAAAAATAATTACTTTCAAAGCAAATACATGATACAAAATAACACAAAGGCTAGCCTATTTTAAATAAATTATGTAGCTGGAATAATCCATAGCCCAGTCTAGATAGCTGGCATTCATTGCCTCCAGTGGAAAATGTACTATGTATCCAAGCCTCTCCGCTCGCTCGTTGGATTAAGTGCCCAGCACACTGATTCCCTGTCTGGAGTTTTCCTTAAATACTCCCATGGCCACAGGCAGAAGGACACAACCCATGGGCTTTGTTTCAAAATACTCCAGGAAAAAAGTCTGGCAGTGCCATTGGAATAGCAGTTGTTGACCAGTCTGCAGCAGAATAAACTACATTCTTCTCTCTACTTGTGTGTATTTGAAAATGTCCATAAGGAAAGTTTTTGTTTTTTTTTTTTAAATGTGCTTCCACAAGAATGTGCTTTTGCAGAAAGTAAATGACTTAACGGGCTGATGTTAAATGTGAGAGTGATGCCATCTAACTGTTTTCCCCCAGGTCTGTGTGAAACTTCCACTAACCGTACTGAACTCTAGGAATCACGGTGCTACTAGCAGAGAGGAGTCACGTCTCGGCCCCCAAGGTCAATGTCTGCATTTCTGTCTTCATGTTTCTTCATGAGAAGAAACTATGTGTCTCTTTTTCATACTGCAGGGTCTCCTGTTTGATATTTTATTGAAAATCTCTTCTTTGGCATCATGACAAGTCCCACTTCTTTCTCCAGGTGCAGTTGAGGAGTACATGAAGCAAATTACCTGTGTGGATTTTGATATTTACAGTCTTGGCAGGAAAGCATTTAGTAATAGGACAAATGTGAAGGCATTTCATAAATGAAATAAGGATTTAATAACATGTACTGCATATATTCATGCACATATACAAGTATAGTGTCCTGTTTGATAAGGACTTGATTTGATTTCATAAGTACTTGATTAGTCATGAAATTAAGAAAATACATTGCAAAATTCCAGGCTAATTTTTCTGGACTGTATGGCTATCACCAAAAGAAATGAATTCACTTTATGTCAGGAATGAAATTTAAATTTCTAGAAACCTTAAGTTTAAATACTTTCTAATTCCTAAAATTTAACCAAATACATAGAAAGCAGTGAACACTTTTATAGTGAACAATTTTATTGGCCTTTCTAATGCATGCATTCTGAATTGAAATGATTTAGAAAGTTGATTTATTATTCATGTATTTATTATCATGTATTCTTAGAGGCTGACACCAATGGACTCATTTATTTTGGTGCAAACTCTCCTGTCATGCTTTGTTTTTAAAGATTTTCACCTAATATTTAGCATGTAGATTTTACTACTAACCAACTATTGTTCTGTCTATGGATGTTTTTGTAGGTGTGGAGATGAAAGGAGAGGTGGAAACTTACAGAAAATTGCCTTTTGACCACCTTCATAATGGTGTGTAGTGATCTCATTCTTAGAGATTTCATTGTCTTGGGGATCTCATTTCTTGGAGATTTCATTGTCTCTCTTGAATTTATGTTTAGTGAAATAAAACTTTAATTGTTTAAAATGTCAGGGCATGCTTCACACACACATGTTTTAAAGAAGAAATTCTCGTTGCTATCTCTGAGAAATTTACGAAGTGGGTTGATGTTCCTCCTGCAAAAGCAGAAAGTATTTGCCCTGTGTTACAAGGTCACCTAGAAAGCACATTACTTAAACGGTTCAACTGGGGAGACACTTGGGGAGAAAACAATTTGTAAGTTTAGAAAAATTTGCTACCATGGAGAGAAAGAAGTTCCCTTTCTCCCTCTCCCACCTCAGCTTGTGTTAAAGTCAGGCTTCTGTGTTAATGTCGTTCATTCACTGAGAAAGTTTCTGATTTTTTAGCTGATTCAGTAGTGTGGAGCCTATATATTATAACCCGATGAGTCTGCACTGCCTGCAACTGACAAAAAAATGGAAATGGGATTTAAGAATCATTAGCGTCATTTTTCAGGACGGTAGGAAAACTGGGACTTAAAACATAGTGCCTAAAACTTTAGTAAACTTACCTATTTAAATTTCGTTTCGCATATCAGATAATAAGCTGTAAACATTTTCCCACCTTCGGCTTCCTTGGTAAACACACTGAACTATTTCTTCACGGGAACACCACAGAGACACTGGCGTGAAGTCCCCGTTAAAACCGTAACACGTGTGTGTGTAGGGGTGTCGCTGACAGTGCCCACATACAGACAGTGCCCTTGCCAGTCGTAGAATTTAAGGGCGTGTGGGCTTTGGTTTCCACGCTGAGTGACTGTGGCGAAGTCTGCCTTCACTCCATTGATGGTGTTTCTCATGGATGTTGATGCTTCCACTGTGACAAGAACCACACACCTCGCCTCTGATGGTGAATATCTCAAGGTTTTGCTCAATATGGCTATTCAGTTTTTTTCTTATTTCCCAGTAAAAATAATCTTGACTCTTAGCAAAATTTTCAGTATCTCATGACTTATATATTTTGCTTTCCAGATCAGACTTGTTAAACTCATGTAAACATTTGGGATTGCTGATTAAAACTACATTTGAGTCCTGGATATGAGTCACTGCGTTTCTTATGGCTGCGACGACTGGGGTTTCCCTCCGGGTCGTGGTGAGGCTGCGCTACTTTTGCTAATGAAAAATAATGAGAGAGGGGCCGCTGGCTCCACCGTCCCTCCAACCACATTCCTGCCTTTTAATGACCTTTATTGACCAAAAAACCAAACAAAAGCAAAAAGCCTGAAAAAATGAAAAAGAAAACAACACCTAGGCTGTAACAGAAAAGTTTCTTAGAGTCCCTGAAAAGCCACCTAATACTGAGAGAAATTCCCGGAGAAAACGTTGGAGGGAGGCTTATATTACTTATTAGAATAATGAGGAAAGAAAATGTGTTTGAGGTGGATGGTTTCAAATCACACTTTTATGAGATGGTTTCTCTGGGTCTCCACGGAAGACTTCTGTGAGCCTCTTCTCATAAAGAAAAAGACCAAATTGGCTGAGATGCACAGCTTATATTTTGTTATGTGGATTACTATTTGCAAAGAATAAGCCAAGACCAATGAATCTATTTCACTGAGGAGTGGAGACTGGAATAGAGCAAAGTCCCAAATGGGAGCGATCAATACTTGATTTACTAAGACAAGCCCTAAAAAAAGAGAGTCAATAGCTGGTTATATTTTTTATACCTATTTCTCTGCTTGGTTGACATTTATTCATATATGTAATAGTATGATCTAAATAAATATTTTAAACTGTATACTAATCTATCTTAAAATTCATGTTGTAATGAATATGAGAAAACGCCAGCCTTTGATGTGATTGTATATCCTGTTTTAAACTCTAAGGCAAATCTTTGAGGTAATCTTAAATCTTGACACCCAGTCCATAGCATATTCCATAGTTTTATACCAAAATGCAATTAACAATATTATAAAAGGATAAAAAGGATACCCATTAGATATGTGCATTTTTTATTGTGATCTTTAGCCTATAATTTAATCCCCTTTATAAGTTTCTTAAATTCCTCAGACGATTTGCTTTTAGAGCAAGGACTTAAATAAATGAAAGGTCAAACACAACAAATGAAATATGAAAGTTGTAGAAACTCGTTGCCTGTGAATTACACAGAAAAAGAGGCAGGAGATGACATGCTTCTCTCTGGAATCACGCTTGGGGCCTCCTGCCTGAAACGTATTTGCTGGAGAGGAAGGATCCACCCTTTGCATCTGTTTTCAGGACCTGCCCTGCTCAAACAGATGATGATTAAACTGAATAGGATATGGGCTCATTTGTCTGTAGGACCATCACCTGAGAGAGCAAGCTTTGCTTCGTAAGGACAGTTTGTGGAAGTGGCGTCTAAAGTATCAGATACAGCTCTGTGCCCTTGCCAATCCTAGGGGGGACTCGGAAGATAGATGGGTGGGTAGAAACCTAGGTTCATAGATGCAGCCAACAAACCTATGTACATAGATAGGAATCAAGTCAGGACTCAGAGAAGCCAGCTACAACTCTTGACTGCGCCAGGGTGATCCCAGAGAAGAAGTGCCCGGAAATTTCTTTAATTCCTTAAAGAAAAGAAAAAAAATCATTCCTGTACTCGCATCTTGATTTTCAAGAAAGAAAAAAGATAGCCTGTACCATGACACACATGGAAAATATTCTACCCCACAACAGCGAACTGTTCATGAGACACGTTTGATCTGTTAAAAGGTTAGTGGGAAGCGTACAGTGACAAAAGAGGACAGACTATGATTTCAATACCTTGAGACCATGGAATTTTTGCACCATGGTTTATGTCCCTGGATATGTTCCAGTGTCTCCTAGTTTACAGTCTATGAGAACTTGACTTTGTATCCTAGTGTTGTGTGAAAATTATATAAATCTTAATGATGTTGAATTGGTTCATGGTGCTTTTCAGGTCTACCATATCCTCCTACTTTTCTGCATATTCATTCTGTTAATTTTTGAGAGTTTGATACTGAAACTCCAGCTAAAATGCTTCATTTATTAAATAATTGTCATACATAGTGGAACTATACGTGAAGGACTGGGAAGCCTGGTGTGCTTCAGTCCGTGGGGTGGCAAAGAGTCAGACATAACTTAGCAACTGAACAATGAACAACAATATGTAACTTTGTTCTGTATTTCCTAAGCCTCCTGTAAGTGTGTTATTATACTTTCATAATTTAAAAAATAGAGAAAAAAGTTACTAGGAAGCAAAATAAGCCACGAGGTTACCTGGAAAATGTATTTGAATCTTATTATAATATGGCTTAGTATTATGGAACAAAATTTCAAGGAACCGTGGGTCAAAATTGTATACCTTCCCGCAAACATACTAGCACAAAGCAGAAGCCTGATACAGCAGGTAAGCCATTCGAGTAGAATAGAGTCGTGTTCTGTTGAACCACAGTGTAGGACCAAGTTTCCTAAGTGCAGACTTGGTTGATCTGTGATGCAGCTCAGAGGCACACAGGTCTTTCCTTAGAGCAGAGATTTTAGCGACTTCTTTCTCCTTTCAGGATTGTTGCTAAACCAATATCTAAGGAATGCAGGTTACATAATGAAACGTTGGCAGCCCAATGTCAGCTAATTAAGAGCCTGCCTGGGAGTCAGAAAGATCCTGTAAGTGACAAGTGAAAATGTTAATACCGGTCTCAAACTTTTTGAGCAGAGAAGTTGGTGCCTGAAGACTACCAATGCCTTCTGCCACTCCATGTTAGGGGTTTGCCCAAAGCTGCTCTCTGAACCAGTGGGGATTTCTCTGCTGTGTGATCTGATGGCAGCCGACGAAAGGTGCTGATAATCCCAGGGGGACCGTTGTCCACAGAGAGAGGAGTGCAGTCAGGTGATCTCCACTGTCTGATAGAAATGATCTTTATGGCTTTGTTCTTCATCAAAGGACCTTGATTAAGCACCTTCATGCCCTGTGGTTTGTAGAAGAAAGCAGAGAACCAAAAAATAGACTATTTGGTCCCCATTAAAAATGGACCCCATTTAAAGCAACATGGTATTAAAACAGAGCGAGATCTAATACAAATGCAGCTTCAATAAGTGTTATTAAATTATTAGACCTTTAGGTGAAAATATACCCGTGAACTGCCTTTATATGCAATCAAAGCTGTGATTAAATATTAATGCCCTAAGATTAAAGGGTCACTTGAGTAGGTTTTTTTAAGCGATACCCCCAAATGGTGAATAGGAGATGCTGCAAATTAGCTGCCTTTTGTATACTTTGTGGGCGCTAAAACCTGGACCAATTTTGAGGGTGAAAACCGCCAGGGTGTGGTCCAGCCGTGCCTGGGCTGAGGCCCTGTGTGCTGGAAGTGTGTTCTTCCTCCCTGTCAAACCACAGAAGGCTCATCCGGCCTCGCACCTCCTCCTGTTGCCGTGTAAGGTCCTTTCGCAGGAGGAGAAGCGTCAGAAGCAGCGTTTGTGTTTTATAAAACCCGAGGACGAGTTGATGACTGCCCGTAGGAACTAAGGATGTGAGACCTTCAGTCTTCAGAAAGGAACATTTGCTTCTCGCTCAGAAATCCTTTTCCTTCTCCTCGGCGTCTGGGGTCAGGTCCAGCAGAGACCCCGCCCCGCTCCGGGCAAGGCCGTCACGTGGCCCAGGCAGGGCCCCCCCCCCCAGGCAGGTGAGGGGAGCAGGCCCGGGGGAGTGGCCCCTCGGGGGGGTCCTGTGTCCTTGCCCTGAGCTGCCCCGGCCCCTGAGCCCAGCTGTCCTTGACCTGAGGCCCCGGGGAGCAGGCCCGTCTGCCGGCCAGCCTGTGAGGCTGACGGACAGCCGCGGGAGTGGAGGGGCGCCCGCCAGCTTCTCCGGCCCGTTCCCGTTGGTCTGAACCCGGGAGCCACCCCGGCTCACGGCCCTGCTCTCATCTGGCTGAGAAATGGAGCCAGGTGGCCTTGGCAGCCGGCACGGCGGCCGGACGCCTGGCGCCCCGTCCCGCGTGGGGTCCCTGCACGGCAGCCGGCACCTTCCCGACCCCCCGCCCGCTCTCCACATGCCTGGTCTTGCCCTGCCCGTCATCGTCCTGGGCCCA